CCCCCCGCCGATGCCTCGCAACCCGTCCCGGACGAGTCGGCCGCTACCATAACTGAGAGCAACGAGTCGGCAAACTCGCTCCAGCCCGTCCAGACCGAATCCACCATCGCCTCGTCGGCTGACTTCAACCTGAACAACTACTCGGCCAGTCAGACCGATCTCCCCCACGACCCGTCCCCGCCGACCCTGCCCGACCAGTCTTCTTACAACTCCCGCCCTAGCCACCGCCAATCCCTGCCAATCGCCCAGCACTCTCAGCTTCAGGCCCAGCCTTTCTCGCAGCCATCCCAAGGGCCCTCGCAGCCCCGTACATACCCCTCTTCCACCGTCGCGTCTTCCCGGCCTGCTTCCAGCTTCTACCAGCACGCCAACATATCCTCGAGCTCGGGCGTCTCCGCAGGAGGTACATACCGGTACAACGATGGTGGTCTGATGCAGCCCTCTTTGGCAGGTCTGAGCAGGAGTAGTTCAAGAGCGGCGGCGGCGGCAATGCAAGCAGCGGGTCTTCCCACGAGAGAGCCGAGTCGATCCTACCGGCAACCGCAACAGCTTGGTGGTAACGGGCCTCTACCGCCTCGCCGCAGTTCCCGCAGGAGTCCCATGGGCCCCGGACCCCCTGGCCACGGAGCCACGGTAGGACCTCAAGGACCTGAAGGAGCAATGCCCACCAGTAGCGAGGATTGGAAAGAAAAAGGCGCAGCGGTCGGTGTCAGGCAAGAAATGGACGCCAACGGAAAGCCGGTTTCCCGGGTCGTCAAGAAGGGTGTCAAAGATTTCAACTTCGGGCGGACGCTAGGTGAAGGTTCCTACAGCACGGTGCTTGCGGCCACGGATCGGCAAACGCTGAGGGAGTACGCCATTAAAGTCCTGGACAAGCGGCACATTATCAAGGAGAAAAAAGTCAAATACGTGAACATCGAGAAGGATACCTTGAATCGACTGACTGACCATCCCGGGATAGTCCGACTGTATTACACCTTCCAGGACGAACGGTCTCTCTATTTCGTACTAGACTTGGCGAATGGAGGTGAGCTGTTGGGGTTCTTGAAAAAGATGGGAACATTCGACGAAGAATGCACGAGGTTCTATGCCGCGCAGATCTTGGATGCTATAGACTATATGCATTCGAGAGGGGTCATTCATCGGGATTTAAAACCGGAGAATGTGCTTTTGGATGACCAGATGCATGTCAAAATCACCGATTTCGGCACCGCCAAGATCCTGAGAGGGGCGCGCTCGCCCAACGCCAACGGCAGCGGACAGGTCTCGGGGGATCCAACAGAGGGTGTCGAAACAGACCGCGCCGAGTCTTTCGTTGGTACTGCGGAATACGTCAGCCCGGAACTCTTGACCGACAAGAACGCGTGCAAGGCCAGCGACCTCTGGGCCTTTGGTTGCATCGTGTACCAGCTGCTGTCTGGAAGACCGCCCTTCAAAGCGGGCAATGAGTACCAGACGTTTCAGAAGATTGTAAACCTCGAGTACGCGTTCCCGGATGGCTTCCCCCCTGTGGCTCGTGATTTGGTGGAGAGACTCTTGGTCCTTGATCCTGCCAAGAGGTTGCCTATTGAGCACATAAAAAATCACCAGTTCTTTGACGGGATTCAATGGGGCAAAGGCTTGTGGAAGCAACGGGCTCCAAGGTTAAGGGCGTATTCCCCGCCTGCACAGGACACCATCAAACTCAACGGACACGCCAGTGTCAGCTCTTTGCCGCCACATATGGCGGCAATGAGTAGCGCGAGACAGGGGCCCTCCGGTCCTCCATCTGGCAGTACTAACCCACCCAGGCCATCCGCACGTGTCATCACCGAATTACCACCGCCGAGCCAGCTCGATATCGATTGGTCTCCCGTACTTACTCGACCCAACGAACGGATATTGAAACTTGGAAATCTCGTAGTCACCTCAACCGCAGCGCCACACAGTCCAGGCTCTAAGGGAGGAGACTCGGGCTCTGAGGCGCCTCAAAAGAAGGGGTTTTCTGCGAGGTTCTTCGGTGGCACCACCACCAAGAAACGGCAGCGGCTTGTGATGATCACGTCTGCTGCTCGCGTTATTTTAGCTACTGCTGGAGGAGAGGAAAAGAAGGCTAAGATGGAACTCTCGTTGCTTACACCAGGTGCTTCTTGGAGAAGTCACAGAGACAACAAGAGTCTGACGTCTTGGTGCATTGAGACGGTAAGCGTGCAATACATGAGAGGCATTGGCGCCAGGCTGATACCTGCACAGCGCGAGAAGCATCTCATCTTCGAAGATCCCAAAGCAACCCCAAGTGATCCGGAAGGCAGCAAGTATTCGTCACAAGAATGGCTTGACGCAATTGAACAAGCGAAGGATTTCGCAGTATCTCAACAGAGTATGGCAAACTCCTATTCTGGCGACTCGACATTCAACGAACTGAGCTCGACAATTTCAAGCCCGGCAAGTACTTTAGGTGGCGACTCCGCGCTTGATGGAGTAAACGTTCCCTCTTCCAGACATCTTCGGAAGGACCACGGCGATACCGAATCGGTCAAAGGCAGAAAAAGATTTAGTAAAAGGCATTCGAAGAATGGTCTCGCTGCCGTGTTCTAAAAGGCTGACCAACTCTTCCGCCACCATCAAAATTCCTCTCCTTGACCCACACACATCATCTACTTCCCAGCTCGACTGCATCGCCTCTGTGGATTACTAATCTGATCTCTCCCGCGACATCATCCGCTTGACCACCAATCTTAAACCCCTTCACCACAAGCGACAGTCGGATAGTCTCCTCTTTTTGGGCCTTCTCATGACATATCCATCAACGCAGCGATGTTTCACCAACCTTTCTTTCCTTTGTTTGAACCATCCCGAGATCGCATCCTATCCCAGTAGCAGCGCACGGCGTTTTGAGGCGTCGTTGGGTATTTTTGACAGTTCATCTCCGCATTGTGCCTTCCACAGCAGAATTATTTTCCTTTGGGGGCACTGTTGTTCCGCCGCCGTCATTGGATGCGGAAGAGCAGACGGGCATTTTCCAATTTTTCCTTTATTTTCCTTTTATTAGTTTTGCGAAGCGGGGAAGAAAGAGGGAGGGAGCGTGTCTTCTTGTGTTTTTCCTTTACACTCACAAAGTCGAGAGAGCAGCAGACAGCAAAGGGCGGGGAGTTTTTATTTTTCATTTTCCTTTTCCTACTTCTTTTTCTTCTTCTCTCTTCTTGTTTTCTTTGTTTTGACATTGAACAGCACGGACAGAGGTCGATCGCGCCGGATTTCTTTTTTCGTCTTGGGACAAAGCTTAGTGTAGATGCTTCTACCTTGCAATTCGAGTGGGATGATTCGTTCACCACAAAAATTCTTTCTTTTTCTTTTTTTTTT